TTGTCAAACCACCAGGAATTATTGCTACAGTAGTAGACAATTTTTGACATCTGGTTTTCACTGACTCAAGTAAATGAGCATGCATGGAATCCATTATTAATAACCCTTTTGTTTGGAAAAAGGATCCCTTACGACACTGCCACACTTTTTGTAGCCACTCGTGCATGATTGTTTCGCACATCCAGCCATTCTGGTTTGCACAAATAATTATGTCATTAGGAAAATCTCCCTTGGGAATAATCTTTCGTTTAAAATGATCATCGGCTTTAGCTTGTCACTGATTGTGGCACAAGCTAACACACATGTAAATGACGCTCTTTCATTCCCCATCGTAAGCACAGATACAGTTTTTGCACCAGTTTCATCCAGAGTTCTGTTTGCAGGAGATTCGAAAGCTAATGGTGTTTCATCCATATTTATTATCTGTGACCAAAGAATTTTTTTTTTTTTTTTTTTTTTTTTTTTTGTCAATAATATCTGTCACATATTTTAGAAAAGATGCCTTTTTATTCTGCCAGTCCATTGGTAATTGTTGCCCAACTGTTGTTCTAGTATGCACAGAAATATTTTTTCTTTTCATAAATCTGCTACACTACCAAGGCCCTCCTTTGAAATCATTTATGTTCATTTGTTTTGCTATAAATTTTGCTTCTAAGCGAATTTTTACAGTCGAAATTCCCATTCCCTTTCCTCGTTGCTCCTTTATCCAGTTTGCAAGGTCGTCCTCTAAATTCGGCCACCTTACAGTACCACTTCTTTTCTCTCGTTTCTGTTGTGGCATATTTTCAGTTCTTCTTTTTCAGTTCTCCAACGTCGAATACATCTCTCGTCCACTTCAAACTCTCGAAGCTGCTGATTGCTCTATTTCCAATTAGTTCAGCTCGTGAAATTACATTAAGCTTAAAACCAGCAGTATAGTTTCTGTGCCGTTAAGGTGACATTTTCAAAAATTTTCCGCTCCCTTCTTACTTAAAAACTATCGAACAAGTACTTGTACCCAAACTGATGGTATCTGTATCTGGCAGAATGCCAAGAAAAGTCGATTCATCATGAAGGGGAAATACGTCAGAGTTCATTATTGTGAGGCAGGTGGTGTCGTGTCCGCCTTTGAAAAAAAATTCAGAAAAAGCAGGAGTGAGGAGAGGATGGATCCTGGAAGATTCAGTGAATGGCAGAAAGAGAGACTATTCAAACTGATGAGAATGTTAATTTGAAAGGGGGAAGAACGTTATTGTTCTGAAATCCCGTTTAGCGTGAATAACGCAAGTAGGTCCGTTCAAGGGAAAGAATGTAAACAAAATAACGTTTGCAAAAAGCGACTGAGTGGTCTTTTGTGTGGGAACAGCACCAGTCTATGTACAATGACAAGGTTATCCAAACTATGTACAATGACCATCATAGGAAATATTTTATTTTTACTGCACCTAAACGCCGTATGGGTAGAAACAGCGCACATGCTGAAAATTTAAGTTTTAAACACGTAAATGCTGTGGCGTTTCTTCCGGAAATTACGGTAATTTAGAACCGAAGAAATTAATCACATTTTGACGCTAATAATATTTCACGTTCTAAATGAGATAAGCAATTCGTAGACGTTGTTAAATCGCTTTCATACTTGTGGAAAAATACATTGCGTATATGCTGTGAAAAGAAATTTTCACACTGCATACTTTGATGTTACAGTGATCTTGGCTCTGAGTCAGAATTCAAGTAGTGATGAACACTTTATTTTATCCATTAGTTAAATGATCATAGATTACTTGAATAAACTCGGCATTGGGAGCTCCACACACTTGAGATATGCATGTCGGTTCAAAAACTACTGCGCCAAAAAATGTAATGAAAGCACACATTTTAAGAACGCCATACTGACTCGATGATATTTCTTAGAATGATGAATTTGCAGATACTGTTTTCTATTTTACAGAAATCCAACTGAGGAATAAATGTTCCATTGAGGTTAGTAGCAAAGTCCAATCCTGTATAACTAATAACTGTAATGTTAACACAATTTTGGAAGCATTGAATGTAAGAACACTCAGACGTAGATGTGCAGAATTACTGATGGCATAGATACTTGATGCTTACAGCATCCATCCATTTTGAAGAAAAAAGCAGTCGAGCTGAATTAAATTCCTTATTTATTTAAATTCACATTTTGTGGTCACAATTCACTTAACATGCCAGTTGTGCCTATTTCCAGAACAATTTTGATACTGTTGTGATATAAGAGATCATTGCAGAGCATAGATGATTGCAGCGAAGCGTCTTAACAGGATGAAAGCATAAGCCAGAAGAGAGTGAGTGTCGCAGTAGTGATGCAGAGGAAGAAGGGGGAGGCAAAAGTTTGAGTTTTAAGTTTTGGTTTACCATTAGCTGATTTGTCAAGAGGCATCTGCATTAAGGGTTATGTAAGATCTCATAATTAATTTTAATGACGCAGTTTAGACTTAAGCGCTATTTTTAGGACAGATAGATGAAATAAAAAATAAAGGAGGTTGTAACGAATTAAATTTAGAAGTTTGTTTTCATATTTTTTATCTTATACACACATATATATAAGTATGTAATTGTAATCAGCTTGCCTGCTATCTAATTTATTTGTAATAAAAAGTAACTAAATTGTATTCTGGTTGCAGAATTAAGAGTATAAATAAGTTATATACAATACAAATAAGGATTTTTTAATAAATTTGATTAATTTTGTGCCAGATGCTACTACAAATGATGTGATAGAGCAAGTAAATTATAAAAAAATATTTTTATTATCTTATGATTGGCAAATCTAGGAGGCAAAAGAACAAATGGAAAAGCAAAAACTATTTAAATAATGGAAGTTGTGATTAATACAGAAAATGGAAGGATCACATGAAATTGTGACTCTTCTTCAGAAAGTAAACCACAATTGCACTTTTCTGAATAGGGTTTTGGTAGAATTTTGATAATTTGAATAATATTTTGAACAATTTTAATGGTAAATAATTAAAAATAAAACCTAAAATCCATTTCAGAAGCAAATCTGCTCCAAAACAGGCTGCAAAATTGCTTTTGTATTTTGGCGATTTTTACAGAAGAAAAAGAACAAATAGTTTTCTTGGAAAATATTATATATTACCGGGAAAGACCGAAATTGGAGAATCTCGACTTTCACTGGAGAATGTCAACATTCACCAAATACGTCAGTGAATGATCGAATATTGTACTACATTCGGACCCTCACCAGTGTATGTCGACAATCACAGATATGCTCTGGTGTAGGTCATTAAGTGCCATAATAGTTTAAATTGTTGCAATAAATAAGATTTGAATAACATGATTTAGTAAGTTTTTTATTACTGTTATTTTATTTTCTCATTTAGAACGTACTGTGTAATTAAGTAAGTTTTTAACTTCTATTATTTTCCTTTCTCATTTTGAATGTATTGTGTGTTTTAGGTTCTTATGGTCTTAAGTTCTTATTTCAAGTGCGTTTATTCGCGACTGAATTACGGGGTGCGTTTATTAGTCTCAAGTGCGTTTATTCGCGATTGAATTACGGGGAAGAAAATATAATTCACCGTTAGTACATGGTGAATTTCGACATTGACCGGTGTAAGTCAGAAATAAGAGTATTTTGAAAGTATTTTGGACATACACCAAGCGACTATGCAAATGTTGACATTCACCCGTGAAAGTCGACATTCTCCAGATTTCGGTGTTTCACCGTAACATATATATATTAATTGCAAAAGACTATTAGCAAACTTAGTTACAAATGGGTATTTGTTTTTATTGTGATGAAAGTTTTTATCTTGAGAAAGAATTCGAAGCATTTTTCCATTAGTGATTTTGTGGAAAAATAATGTATTCCTGCAGAAATTTCACCTCTTTTTCTTCTATTATAGGAAAATTCTCCAAGCACAACTTTTAAAATTGAGACAAAAAGTAATCATTATTTTTCTATATAAGTCATCATAACATAGAATACAGCAAATGGAGTGAATACTTTGGAACCTGAATATTTGTCATGTGCATGGTTACCTGAATAATGGAATAATTGTCATGTGAGTTGTTACCAGAGTTTGGTGTATTCTGAAACTTGACTAAGGTAACAATATCTACTAAGGTGGTTGCAATAATACACAAGTACCAAACAAACAGTGTCAACATGTAACTATGAATTCTAGAATGAATAAACAAAATCAACTAAATGAGCAATAGTTGGCTTTTGACTGTAATAATTGCCATTTTCTGCCATATGCTTGTGTGTATATATAATATCAAAGATAAAAAAACAAGAATATTTAATTGTTATTGTCATTGTTGCAGCTAGTCTCATTTATCTTATCTAATCAAAATAAGTCTGTAAATTTCATCATTACAAGGAGTGCATGATTGTGTCCGTTTTTGGCATAATCCTTGAACAGCATATGCATGGTAGTATGATAGCCTAGTTCCACCTCAATTTGAAAGAGCACCCCAGGGGTTGGAGAAAGGGGTCTCCCACTCCTCTTCCACCCAAACCACTTGAGATGACTTTTGGCTTGTCATGTATTTTAAGTGCCTGTATGCTGAACAGACACTTTATATTTACCATGCCTTCACTGGGATTCGAATCCAGGCCCATCAATACAGCAGTGTCACTAATCACTATACAGATTGAGGAGCAGAATATGTAAATAGTAAATACTATTAATGTTATGTAAAGTGCTGCAGTTATTTAATTAAGAAAGAAATAAGATGTATAGAATTAATATCAACTCAGAAGGGATAAACTATCTAACAAGAAAGTACAAATTTAAAGCAGTTGAAATAAAAACTTAGAAAACAAAATTAAAATTAAAGTAAATAATATAAAAATGGAACAATTGCTTACAGTATTGTTTATTAGTTTACAGTATGTTGTCACTGTTGCTAGATGCCCTTTATATTATGTAAATTATTATTTTTTTTTTTTTTTTCAATTCTGTTTTATTGACATTTAGTATTTCAGTAATAAAGAAGTAACATTAATTTTTCAGTTTCTGCTCTGTCTTTTAACGAAACACCAAACATTTCTTTGACGCATTTGAAGCAGCAGATTATTAATGATGATCCATCATCTTTGTTTGCTGTTACTAAAAGCTTAGGAAAGGTATTTTACTATTTTAGTTTCTAATTAAAATGATTGTGTATTTAGTAATTTATTTTGTAATGTCTATTTTTGGCATCCATAGGTGCATGTGTATCTAAATCAGAAACCATAGATAATTCATCTGGAATTCACTGCATAGTGAATTAATAAGCTGAATGAAAGAAATTTTGTGAATTTCTGCATTATATCCATAAAATCAATCCATAATTTTCCTTAAAGGATTTTCATAAAAGCTTCATTTCTGCACAGGATGGGACGTGGATAACCTTAACCATGATTATAAATAAATAAAAATCTGACTTAACTTTTCAAGCATAGATATCCTGTTATATTTTTATTTTTACAAGAATTTAATTACACAAGACTAAATTACACAAGAATTCAAAGCCCATATGGGATTTTTAACCTTCCAGCACATGCGCTGGGCAATTTTACGTGAGCGCATGCACGTGGTATTTTTTACGACATCCGTTATTTTACCATTTTGGGCACAAAAAATGACAGAAAGGAGTGAATGTTGATAATAAATTTCTTAAGAAATAAAATATCAATCTTATTATTGCAAAATACAAATGATATCACATTCAAATGTAAGTAAATTATTTTTAAGTTCTTATATTAGTGAGATGGAAATGCAATGATGTATTTCATTATAGAAAATTTTAAATTTATTATTTAATAGTTATATTTTAAAATCAAAGCTAATTTTATTATTCATCAAAGGCAATTATAGACAATAAAAAAGGAAAACACCTTGGTAGGAAAAAAGTAAGTTTAGCATTACTTACTTCTGCAGAGAAATTGATTTCTGACTGGTTATAAAAAAGCACTTTAAACTAACTTTAATATTTTTATTTATTTCTAAAAAATAGAAATAAAAGAAAATCGGGAATGGAAATCGCTATTGTTCTCCCATCCAAAGGTTTCCTTGTCTTTCTTTTCTTCATCAGATAATTCTTAAAGAATGTGAGCAAAATCAGCTGGTTGTACATATTTTTTGTGCCGTGAAAACCGATATAAAATTTACAGAGCCAAATGTATTCAGATTAAAATAATACACAGCAATTAATAACACAAAATTACAAAATATTTGAGAAAAAAATATTTTCCGAATTTTCGCCCACGACCATGCTTGTGTCGTAAACTTTACGAAAAACCTGCCACGCAGCACAAAAGCCCAGTAAAAAAAAAAAAAAAAAAAAAAAAAAAAAAAAAAAAAGTCAAATGACTTCCTATTGACACATTCCATGATGTGGGGAAGGGTAGAAAGGAGGAATAGAAATGACCTTCAGACGTCTCAGCTTCGATATGCAAAAAATGTGCATTAAAAACTGAATTTGTCATGAATTTTGTGCATACGCGTGTGCTGGAAGGTTAAGAATCGAAAAATTAATTTTACTGATAAAGAAAAATAATGACTTAAATATTGAACTTATGGAGAAGTCGAGAAATTTTGTAATTGTTAGCAAATTTAAATAAATATTGGGTATGTGTCCGCTAAACATCACTGTCGACTTAATGTCCTGCTGACTAAATGTCTTGACAGTAAAATGTCTCATAGCTAAATGTCCTGATGGGTAATTCTCTGTGTTGGCTAAGTGTCCATGTTGGCTAAATGTCCTGTCAGCTAAGTTCCTTGTCGGCTAACTTCTGTGTTTGCTAAATGACCTGCCAACAAAGTGTCTGTATAGACTAAATGTCCTGGGCTAAGTGTCCATGTCGGCTAAATGTCCTGTTGGTTAAGTGCCTTGTCGGCTAAGTGTCACAGACTTTCATTTGCTAACAAGTTAGAACTAACTTGAATTTAATTTTGTGAGACTGCTGCCATCTTACGAAGCTAAATATTTTCTGTTTATTAAAATTAAAGCTAAATCACATTATAATTTGTAAACTGCAATGTTGAAATATTAAGATTTTTTTTACAATTTTCCACACTTGATGGTATAGTTTATTCTTGTTAATAGTGATTCTAATATATATTATTTTAAAATTATAATATAAAATTTAATGAAAAATTCTTTGCACTTGCATTATGGTAAGTGAGAGACAAAAAGGATCTGAATGTATGTAATACTATTAGACTTATATTTGTTTGTATTAAAAGTGATGAAAATGAAATTTTTTAAACAATATTTTAGTATTATTACCCCAAATGGGCTTTAGCCCAGAAGGGCTATTAGTCTTGAAATGGCATTTTTCATTGAATCGCTATATACAGCTGTATCACTCATATCATGGCTATAACAGCTGTATCACTTTTCAAATTATTGCCACCAAATATTGTCACCTTGTATTATATTTAAAGAAAATAAATAATGAAGAATCTACACGAATGTATGTTTCTTGCATTATGAAAAAACAACAGTATTTAAAGTCATCAAATTTTGAATAACATAGTCCTCAATCTGAACATGGACACCTGAAAGCCCGAGTTTAGAATTTGTTTTATTGTCTGTTTAATTTTTTTAAAATTTTAACGAATTTTTGATTAAAAAACTCAACAATTTCAAAGCAAGCAGTGCCAACACTGTAGGGAAAAATGTTTTTATCTCCAGAACGTGAAACTGTATATCAGAAATTCTAAAGTTTTAAAAATATTTTCAAATATTTATATAAAAAAAATTGAAAGCCTTCAGATTTTTTTATTGTTAAAAATGTTATTATGACTGTTACATCAAAATGTGTATAAACTTTCTGGTATTAAATTGAAATTAGCAGTAGTTATTTGAAGTTTTTAAAGCAACTTTGTGGTACAGTGCCTTGTGTATTGCAACTGAGATTTGAGTTTGACTTGTTTTGAAACTTTAATTAATAAAACTACATGACTGCTTTAATTTTTTTTAATATATTTTATTTTAATTTTTTATTATTCTTAAATTTTATTATTATGGCTTATGGTGCAATGAAGTTTATATTTCTTCCTTTCACTGGAGCTAATTAAATTCTGGAAATCATATCATGGATAAAGTTTTCTTGAAAAGGTGTTAAACTTTTTTATTGCATTATTATCCTCTAAAATAAAGAAAAAGTCCGTCTGTAGTGAAAAGTTTTCAAACGTGTTAAAAATCTAAGTACTGGAAAAGCCATAGTAAAGGAATAATATATGAAAACACTATTAAAACAATTGGAATGACTACAAATACATAGATATACAAATGTCACATAAAATTTTTAATTTATTAATTTTTAATAACTTCTCTTATTAAAAAATATGCTAAAATATATTATGCAGTTTGAATTTATGTGATTTTTGGTTTTATTATCATTATTATTGTAATTTAATGTAAAATATTTAATGGAAGATATCATATTTTATTCCTGATATCCATTTTAAATATTCTGCTTAAATATTTAATCAACATTTACTTGCCTTATTTCAACAATTATGTTTTTTATTTATCCAATTAGTGTGTATTATTCTTTTTATAATAGAAGACAGTTACATGCATACCTCTTCATTACATTTTGTAGTGTCATTTTTTTTCCATTTAATTTATCTGTAATGCTGTGTAATGCACAATGATTTAGTTACTTTTATCTTAGTTTTAATATCTTGTGAGTTTTATAGAAATCATGTGTTAATAATATGGACTGTTAGCTCTGATTGTTAGATCAGAAGAACTGGATTTTCATATGTACTACCAGGAGAGGGAGGGAATTAATAATAAATGTTGCCATATTTATGAAAATTAATCATAGAATTTTCAGAAAGTAATTCAAAAGTGAAATGGTGAAAAGTTCCTGTAAATGGTGTCATTTTATATATATAAAATGCTGATAAAATATAGTAATATAATAATATAATTTAATATAAATATAATAGTATAATTTTAAAATATAATAATTAATGCAATTAGCGTTTTAATCTTGATAGTTTGAATTTACCCCTTTTTTAATTTATGGAGATTTATAATTTATGTATTTTTTTTTTTTTCCAGTTCATATCTGAAAAGCTACCACTAGAGCAATTATATCCCTTCCTCAGGTCATTAGTAGATGGTCTCTGTGATCCACATTCTCAAAGTTCGTCTGGTGCTTCTGTTGTTTTGAATACAGTTATAAAGGGCAGGGGCCGAGAGATTAGACAAGAGGTGAAGTAGAAAGATAAATTATTAACTCTAAAATTGAAATAAAGGCTGTGATTGTAAAATTAACTTTGTAGTTATTGTTGAAAATACATGTAAGATTGAAATTTTTAAGAATTATGATTTAAATTTTTTGTTACTATTTTGTTTGTGATTGCATGAAATTTTAATTTTATATACAACAGTTATGTTTTCTTGCAGACACTGAATCTCTTAGATGCAGTGAGAGATAAATTAGGCAACATTCAGTGTCCTCACACTAGAAAAGGTGCATTACGTACCTTTCAGAACTTAGCAAATCATCATTTATCAGCTGTCCTAGCCTCATTACTTAGCTCACCTGTTCCTTTAGATATGTATGTATATCTTCTTTGATATGAATGCAACAAGGAAAGTAGTAATTTTTTATTAATGTTATAGTTAGTCAAATTGTAAAATTTGTATAATTGAACAAATTACATATTTGATGATTAAATGTGATCAGCAGAATTAAAAAATTACCTGAAGCATTTTTTTTCAGAAATTTTGTCACCAACACTTTCTTTTGAGTAATTAAATTTGTTTCTCAAGCAACCTGTTTCAGATTTTGCATTTCTATATTAAAAATTCTTAAATTAGTAAGAAACTTTTTTTTGGTTAACCTTTGCGGTATTAGGAACAAGATATTGGATACGTGAGTTGAGTTGAAAATGCTACATGCTGGAAAGTATGAGCATTGTGGAATTCATTTAGTAAATGGCAATTTTGAATCTTGTTTGAAATTTTCAGAGAATAAGGGAATATGGGATCTATTAGTTAATGCTGTAATTTTCGCTAAAACACAATGACAGCCTTAGTATTGAGATCACTTTCTTTATCAAGAAGCTAATGATTCTGAAGTTGATGTAACTGGAATGTATATGACTTTTTTCAATTCCTAACTATCCAACTTAGAACCGGTAGTCTCAAATGTATTGATAGTGTCCTTTTGAGTGGTGGTGAAAACTGTCATGCAGTTTTGATAAGATAATAATCATATCAAAACAGCATGGTAGCTTTTCAGTATATCTAATATTATTGGGAATACAAGTAAGTCTCCACCATTTGACTAAAAATGTCGCCACCAGTCAGTTATGGTTAAAATTGTCTGATGTAAAACAATATCGTCAAGTTGGACATCTGCTAAAAACGTAACCTTGAAATTTTAGCGATTTTGTATCAGCATCATATATATATATATATATATATAAACTTAGGAGATAATATAATCAATTAATCAATACTGTTTAGGAAATAAATTATATATATATATACATATATACTATATATATTGTGTGAAAATTTAAGGTTTTGAGCCGAATGAATGTGATTTGCAGGAACTTTTGATTTACTTCTGTAATTTTGAGAAATCTGCAGCTGAGGTGCGCAAATTGTTTGTAATAGCATACGGTACAGTGAGAAGCTGTTGTGAGTGGCTTTAAAAGTTTAAAAGCAGTGAATTTGACATTGAAGACAAATAATATAGCAGAAGGCTGAAAGTGTATGAAGACCCAGAATCGGAAGCACTATTGGATGAAGATTTGTGCCAAAGCGAGTAGAACTTGTCCTTACATTAGGAGTGATTTCGAGCAATTTCAGATAATTTAAAATTATTGGAAATGCTTCAAAAGCAAGGAAATCGGGTTTCATATGAACTGAAGCCAAGAAACATTGAAGGCCAATTTTTTTTACACATGAAATACTGCTTGCCAGGCACAAACAAAAGGGTTTTTTTGCACACATAAAATAATAAAAATGTTCTTAATAAAGTTAGAAAAAACATGAAAACAGTATCTTAAGTGTGGGTAGCAACCAGCACCCAAATCTATGATTTTCTACCAATGTTTTGGTAGTTTTTTAAAGCCTTCAGCTCAGAAACTTGGTAGCCTTGTGTCTAAGAGCAGATCAACCTCATTTCAGATGTCCTGTGTGAAATGGAAGCAACCAGCACCCAAATCTATGATTTTCTACCAATGCTTTGGTAGTTTTTTAAAGCCTTCAGCTCAGAAACTTGGTAGCCTTGTGTCTAAGAGCAGATCAACCTCATTTCGGATGTCCTGTGTGAAATGGAAGATAGCACCAACAAGATGTAGCTGCAGGTGTGAAGAAAGGTACACATCCGAAGGAGCGATGTTGGTGTTATATGGGGGATGTGGGAAAAGATCCCACTCGAGTCCATACAGAGTCCAGCCGGGGAATGCTGACACATGTGGTCTTGTATTATCTTGTTGGAACATTACCTTTTTGTACTGGAACTCAGTTCAATGTTTTTTCTTGATAGCAACATCAACTCGGACTAGCACCTCACTGTGCACCTTATTGTCGAGGTTTTTACCTTTTTCCAGATACTCTTTGGGGATAATACCATGGCAATTCCACCAGATACAAATGATTTTTCAGTCAAATTTTGCTTTGTACTGCTGTCAACAGGCTCTCCGGGTGCAAACCGACCTCCTTTTCGGCCTATGTTATTGAAGTAAATCCTCTTTTATGCACAAATAATGATTCAGTCTAGAATTTTGTCTTTGCATTGATATTCGAGCAAATTAGTGCAGTCTCAAACATGTCTGTCCTTATCCCTTTATCTACTTGAGTCAGTTCATGCAGGACCCAGTGATTGAACTTGTACGTCAAGTTTATATGATGCCAAGCATGACTAATGGACATCTCACTAACTCCTTTGCAAGCTCTTGAGTGGTTGCATACTGATCTTTTGCAAGTTCTCACAGACGGGCCTCATTAATATTATTAGACCGGCCAGAGCGCTCTGCTTCTTGAATGTCATAGTCCTTGTTTTTTAAGTTTTGGTACCAAACCTTCACAGTGTCATATGATGTGTACATATAAAATAATTATAACTTAAAACAAGAAACTTATTTGGCATAGGTTGTTTTATGCTCACTCCAAAAAAAAAAAAAAAAAAAAAAACAGCGAGACAATTCTATATTTCCTATTTAATTTGGTTGATGGACAGAATTCAACTTCTGGTTTTCACATCTCTAAATTGCAAATTTTGATGCAAAACCAAGCATTTTCTGATATTTTGATTCTAAAATTCTAATTATACCAAAATGCCAAGTTTCGTAAAAATCGCAGCAGTAGTTCTGTAAAAGTTAGCAGTCAAAATCCCCCTACAATGTCTGCTCTAACTGTAATATCTCCTCTAACTTTCGCATATATTTAACAGTATCAACTTTCAAAATTATTAACTTTTTTTCTGTATTAATCTGAAATATAGATTTAATCCCCCCAAAAATTCTTGTTTTTTCTTAATTTATTTTGAAAATCTGAGCATTTAAATAATTTTAATAATTTTTTTTAAAAACATTTTGAAATATAACCTATTACATATATAGGTATATATCTAGGCATACCAGCAAATAAGAGTTTTTTTATTCAAAATTACAAGGTATACATGAAGGTATACATGAATTTATATATAGATGAATTTTGAATTTGGCATATTTGTTATAAGCGATAATAAAGCCAAATGTAGTTTGCATACTTTGTTACAATCTTCAATGAATTGCAAGAATTATTTTGAATATTAAGTCTCCAAATAAACTTTTACTGAGGATAATTTATCTGGAATTTATTTTCATATTAATAATGCCTAATAAATATTTATTTAATAATGCATGAAAAGCTTTTTTTTTAATTTATAAAGAATAAATATCGAAATTTTGAAGTTCCCTCCCCTTCTTTCATAAGATTAAATTTTAAATTTTATCATCTGCTCTTTTACTAAACTGCATTTTATATACTGGTCCAGAACAAATTACCTCTATTCAACAATCTTAAATGCTAGGCTCTTGGTAGAAATGTTCAGGTTAAGAAGTCTCTAATTTATTATTTACTTTTTTGAATATTTAAAATATTGTGATATTCTCGGGCACAAAGATCAGAGTTTCAGTGTTGTTAATACAACATAAGCCGTTGGGCAAATGAACATTTAGTTACATTTGCTGTTACTGTATTTGCTTGGTATTCTTGGGATTTAAACTAAAGACAGTACAATTCTCTCCCTAAGTTATTCACCCAGGAAGATCAAAAAGGTCTTCTTTAGATTAAGTGACATTAGGTCATCTTATAAGCTGAAGTGTCAAAACAGTGCTGCAGTTTAAATGTTCAGCTGAGTAGGCCACTTACATAGCAGAGAATTAAGCAAATGATTTTTAATCTTATGTTATTCAGTTGGAAGCTGTCCTGCTGTATGATAATGCATCTTATGACTGGTCAAAAAACATTTTGCAAAGCCACTCTGTCCTGAAAATAAGCATGTGTACTTAATCATCCTGTGTGTTCTCCAGATTTGTTTCCTTGTGATTGCTTCACTTTCCTGAAAACTGAGTTACATTTCAAAGAAAAGTTTTGACATTGAAGAGACAAAAGAAATACGACATCTGCTCATAAATGCTTGTCAAAAATAGACCTCTACAAACCTTCTTTTTCATTATCTTTCATGTCTTGCTTAAGCCAGGAACCTGCATCAGCATAAACTCTACAAACTATTATTTTTAGTACACTGTGATTCAAATACATCAAATATACCAGCAAATGAGTCTGTGCTAACAGAAAAGGCAGAAGAAATATCATTGCAGATGAAAATAAAGGGCTACTGTTTTTTGACTAAATGACTGTATAAATTTAAATTACATTATAGAAATTTATTTTATCATATCATAAATGGTGAATCCTCAGTTGAATTAGTTTAAGATTCAAGAATTTATCCAAGGATGTATGTGAATATCTTTTAAGAACATCATTCGTATTGATGAAACTAGTCTTTTCTTTGCACTTTTGCCTTCAAAATGCCTACCTTTCTAAAGAAGTTCAATACCATGGTAAAAGTCACTTCCCTATTTTACTCTGACCAAATACTGGTGAAACAAAAGACGATACCTTTATATATATGAATGTCGTAAATATCAAGGTGTTGTGAAAATGTTTGTGTTATATAAAGAGCAAAAAAAAAGCTATTTTGAATATATTTGCATAGTGCCTGAAAAAAAGGGCAAGCCATTAAGGAGAAAAAGCAGTTTTAACTGAAATATGAATAATATTTTAAGAAATTAAAAGTAGGCTGATAAAATCATGTAAAGTAATGGCACAGTGATAAAACTGTGTAAAGCAATGCATGCAATGATCCTAAATTAAAATGTCATCATACACCTTTCTCATTTATATCTTTTTTCTGAACATCCTACTGAAAGACTTATTAACTGTGCTTTAGTGTATTTTCTTTCTTTCTTTCTTTTTTTTCCCCCAATACGTGCAGTTTTCAAATGCATTGTAGTATGGGTCATAAAATATTCTTTCAAAAGAAATGCAGTTCAAATAAATAAAATCAAATTCTTAAAAATGTGTATTAATAAATATATTTAAAATACACAGTTCAAATAAGTAAATAGGAAATTTTTAAATAATTGAAGGAAAAATGAGCCTAAACAGATTATAACATTAGTCAGCATTTTAATTACATAGATAGATAAATATTAACAGTGTACATACTTGACAGAATGCGAAGAATAGCATATACATATGGCTGAAGGGAGCTCACATCATCATGGTGCACGTCAATATGGGCGAACTGCTCATGCATCAGGAGAAGACTAGCTGTTAAGCTAAATGGCGGATATTTGTAATTGAACAATAATTACTTGAAGAAATTAATTCAACCATGCAACTCAAACATTTAAAATAAAATTAAAAAAAAATTATCTAAACTAACAACTATGATTTAAAAAATAAAATATAAAGAATTTGAAAGAATAAATGATGTACCCCCCTTCCGTGAGCACAATGAAAGTGAAATAGGTTACCATAAATTAAGAATTAAGATTTTCGTCAAGATGCAAACTGAAAGAAGTATGGCAAGATATTTTTTTAAGTTTCTCACCAAATACTACTAGGCATAATTTGAGTCCTCGAATCCAAATATGGAAAAACATTGGCATGTCATTTCAGAAGAAGTCCGATTTTGTGTCAAAATACGCATGTTAGAAGAATGGTATATGTAGATATATCCAAAGTCATGCTTTTAATATATGAAAGGCACAAGTTGATTTTCATCAGTGGGCCCAGTAGAATGAGAGATATAGAACTGTCTTCCTTTTTTTTTTTTAAATTGTTAAAAACATAAAATTGTTACTCCAAAATTTTACTGCTGATTATCTTCAACAGCAAACTGAGAATTACTGCTGAAGATACATTTGCCATTAAAAAATCCCATTTGGCAACTTCTTTAGTCATCCACCACAAAGTCACCAAACATCTGTTATCATATTTCAAAGATCAACAAAAGTGTCCCTTCCCCCAAGATGGTTTCATATCTTTCTGTAGATGTGCCAAAAGCAAATTTAACTGTATAACATTTTTAATCAACATGTAGGATATTCTTATGAAAATTCAGGGAGAAAATATGCTCAGCCTTATGTAAATAAATGTAAATAAAGTAATGTAAATAAAGACTGATGTAAATGACTTAATGTAAATAAAGACTGATGATAAGTATACAATAAGCTAAATATTATTAGTATAAATAAAGTATAAAATATGCATGGTAACATATGTTCTGTGATATAGCATTTATCATGAATGAAAGTGTTGCTAAAAATAATTTATGCTCTTAATTAATTCATAAGTTTTAAATTGAAAATGTAATGAACTAAATTTCTGATTGATAAATTTTTAAAGGATTATTTTCCAATGATATAAATGGCATATAATTCTAGCTAATGTAAACTGCTGATCAGAAATAGATTATTTTTTCCCTATAATGTGAATCATTATAGTAAAAGAATATATGTTATGTTGTTGTAAACCAGTTTTTAATGCTAAATATTTTTCATAGTAAGGGTTAAAAATCTGTTTCAGTTTTTCCAAAAGTCATATTATTGTTTACTTTATTATTTATATATTTCAGGTTTTATTCTTTTTTTAATATTTTTTCTTCTGACAGGCATACAATTGATATTTGGAGAACTTTATGCTTAGATAAAAATACTGCTAGTCATATTATTGAACACTTTTTGGAGATATTTTCTGATAATGTACTGTCTTCTCCACCTGATCCTCATGGACGCAGCATTGCATATATTGCAGCTCACAAGCCATTAGCTGTAAGTTATTTCTTTCTTTCTTTTTTTCTAGTCCAAAGGAGGTTTTGTCCCTGAAGGACTATTGTTTTTGTTTTGCGATTTTGCACTGAATCACTATAAATGGCCGTTTCACTTTTCAAACTGTTGCCACCAAATGTTAGAGTCCTGCAATATATTTGAAGAAATTAAATAATAAAAAATCTGCATAAATATATGTATATTTCTCGCATTGTGATAAAGCAACGGTACATAGAGCCATCGAATTTTAAATGACGTAATCCTCCTACGAATATGGGCATGTGGAAGACCAAATTTGAAATTTAGAATTTGTTTTATTATCGGTTTCATATTTTGTAAAACTTTAACGATTTTGGGGGGGGGGTAACTTATCACACAGTAAAGGATGCTGAGTAACAGCAAATATAGATGTCCAAGTTGAAGAAGCATCAAATTTAAGTCTCTTAAATTAATGTTTTTAGTTACTAAGTTGCTTTGAAATAATTTGATTTAACTAAATGTACCTTTATGTTGTTCAGCTGCTGATGTTGCATCTTAAAAATCTCCCCAGATATTTTAAATCACATCATATGTAAGAATTAAAGATGTTACAGCATTATACGTAATTTAGATTTAAATGCATTTCCTACTCAGATAATCGGACAAAAGAATTAACTAATCTGCATTAAATGTAATCCTAAATCATCTTATGTAAAATAATTTTTAATTAATATATTTATAAATGCATTTCTGTTAACAAAATTTATATAATATATGATTTCATTTTTACTTCTTTGTATGAAGTAAAAGATCTGTAATCATGAAAAATTCCAGGTACCATATTTCAATGAAAATAACCATTTTGACCGCTATCAAATGCAATTTAACGATGTTTTTGCCTGACATCTGTTTGTAAGGATGGAATATAAAGGACTCTTTTTTTTTCCCCCCAAACGAATTACAAAACTGATTGAAAATGGATTCAGAAGAGATTTTTACATGGCTTCTGTATGTACATATGTATCTCACATAACTCAAAAATGAGTAGTCTCAGAACATTCAAATTTTCTATATAGGACTTCTATAACATGTAGTTGTGCACCTCCTTTTGTGGTTCCACCCGCCCGCACCAAAAGTATATAAATACACACACACACATATTACTGTTACTGTTACACACACATATATATTACTGTTACTGTTACACACACACACATATTACTGTTACTGTTACACACACTCACATATTACTGTTATTGTTACACACACACACACTGTTACTCGTCTCAATGAGCTCAGTTTATTTTAATTCTTATATATTGAAGAATTGTGCATTTTTTGCTTTAAAAATGATTGAAATATGTTGTTCTTATCTTCCGGTTAAGTTTTTTATGCCTTTAGTTAATCTGCATGCAATACTTGCAGAATTATCAACAATTTAAAAGTTGTTAAGTGCGGCTAAGCCTTTTTTGTACCATAACAGCCATATTTGTTTACATTTGAAACTTAGCAGAATAGTGAATTAGTTCTTTCTGCACTTTCACTGTCTTTTTGCCAAATGGGACTAAAAGAAAACTTTTAGCTTTGTGCACTGAAAAATCTGCCTTCTTGCCTGCTGGCCAAACTGCTTGTTTTTGTGCAGAAACTGTAAATTGTTTTAACTGTATTTGGTGTTTTATGTTTTCTATATCATTTTATTTTTAATGAAAATATTTTGAGTTTATCTTTATTTTTACCTTGCTGCAAAGTGAGAACTGAATTAATTGAATGAGAAATATATGTCTAATGAAATTCGAGGAAATAAGTGTTTCATTTTAGCAGAAAATATTGTTGCCAGTCTGTCTTTGACAGAGGAGAATGTTTACACATAGTGCATGCGCATTAGTAAGTGAGGCTAAATCATTTATGAAAAACGTTTTCTTTTTTATTTGTTTAATTTCTCTGATACATCGTTTTAGATGTATTATAGCATTTGAATAGAACATGTAGCAATGATTAGATAATTCTTTATATGATATAACTTTTGTACCTTCTGAATTATAAAATGAATGTGATGTAATGCTGTTAAGTGAACCTCACACCAGAATGTCGCTATGATAAATAAATATAGTAAATTTTAAAGAGTGCATTTACACTATTGTGGTTTATGTGCTATTGACGAAGTAGGTTTAATTAAATTCAATAAATTTAAATGAAATGTAGGAAAAAATTCATATAATTTAATATTCCATACAAGCTTGTACACATCAGCTTTTTTAAATATTCATAAAAAAATTTCAGCATTATTCTGGATGACAGGTAGAATCTGTAAGCAATTATTATTAAAAGAATTAACTAATATGCATTATATGTAATCATATATAAAATAATATTTTCTTAGAATTCTTGGAAATAAATCTTCTGTGAGAGCTTTTTTGTCTTTTGTATCTAAAACTTTACATTAGTATGCGTATACTTTAGATTAGTATTTGTTGTATGTGTACCTTAGTCAAGGATAAACAAAAATGTTAACAATAGTGGCAGAAAACAACAAATTATTGTAATGAATACTGATTTAAAAAAACGGAAAATTTTTAATTTGTTACTGAATAAAAAGAAAAGTAATTGTGAGGAATTCTAGGGTGATCATCAGTGACCAAAATCACTGATGATCATCACTGATGATTGTGTGTGAAAATGATATAATTAGTTATTACTAGCCTGACTACATCTTTAATTTGTTTGATTTCTTACCCATCATATGTGGCGACATCTTTTCTTGTTTTCTCATAGCAATTCATATAAAATTATTGACAGACAATATTATTTTTAACGTTAAGTGAAAAATTAAATGAGTTATGTAGCTATCTTTCTTTACAGTTATATTACAGTCAAATGTGTATCAGTGTAAGGGAAAAAAAGGGTGTGTGATCTGAGAAATCTTCTTAAAATCCTACTTAAAAGTAAAAATTCAGTTGATTAGAATTTTTTATGTAGTATTTTAATTAAATAAGTACTTTAATAACAATCAGTTGTTGATGTTCTTCAAAAATTTCTTATGATTTATTATATGAAATATTTTATATCCTCAGTTCTAGAAAATGGTACGTTAGTCTTGTAAAATTCAGATCAACCTTTATTTTTTTATTTTTCAAAATATTGTAATAATAGTTGTAATATGTCTAACCTAAAGATTTACATGTCAGCTTCTCAAACTGCCATAATCCTTGTTTAAAAAATTGGGGGGTGGCTGAGCTGTGAAACATTTGATTATATTTTTAAATTGGCAATAATTGTTATTTTTTTGTATATCTATCCCTTTTTCAAGTGTATGTGTCTGGTATTTTTTTAATTTTGACAAATAAATAAGTTGCAGAAATAGTTTGTTAAAAAAAAAAAAAAAAAAAAAGATTTTTCAAAAATTCAGCATTTTTTTTGCTTTCAGAAACAATAAATAAGATTATTATATATAATTCCTAACTTCATCCTATTACCTTACTAATTTACTCTAATTTAAAATTTACTCAATGACTATTTATGTCTGTAGAGGACATTTAAAGACTTTAAATCTTCAAGATAAATTTTAGTTTATATGAAGCCTATGTGAAGTTCATTTTCATTTAATGCTTATAATATTCCATCTAAATTTTGTACCTCTCTGCAGTTTGTGTTAATTAGGGAGAAACCAAATCAGGAAAAAATACATTGCAGGAAAAATACATCTTAACAGGGCTCTTCTGCTGCAATAACATTTTTTAGTAAATCCAATAAATGTCTATTACAAAATGAGTATTTAATTTTTTGGGGGGGATATTCAATAGAATGCTGCTTATTGAAAGATGAATGAAGATCAAATACCAAGTTGCAAATGCATATAAAACCAATCATGGCAGGAGATCTCAAAATCTCTCTCATCAGATTTTCAAATCATTGCTATGAAAACAAACAAACTAATTGAAAACTCAATAAATATACTGATGAAAATGGTAAATTTCTGAAAGTAACAAACTAATGTAGAGAAACTTTTAGAAGGAGAAAAGTATATATCGTGTAAATTCTTGTCAAAACAAAGGAAAAAAAAGAGCTACCAAAATGGCTGATATTGAAAAGTTATTTTTAAATAAAATAATTCAAAAAAAAGTATAAGAGTGTAATTCCAGTAAAGCATGATATGATCAACACAGTGTGTAATGAAACTTGCAATGAGTATGTTCAACAGAGTTTTAATAGAATTTTTGATAGAGAAAGCTTCATGCATAAGATTTTTATTACCACTTATTTTTGTTTGTAATATATTTTGCTGTCTAAAAATATTATTGAAAAAATTCAATGAAAAAAAATCTTGTTTTGAATTTAAGTAGTTTGGTGGATACAAACTTGACAGGTTTCGCATATAGGGACAAATTTCAGGTTCAAAGTTTTTGTAATCAAGTAATGGTATGACTCATGTTTCGCTTTTGTCTTTTATAGGCTGTTTGTGCCTTACGTGAAATGTTCAAAGTACCTGAGATGGAAAGTTGTGGCAAAGAACATTTTGATAGAATATTTTCATCTTTATTACTTGTTATTGGAGCTTATGTAGGAGCTGTTTTTCCTGTATATTCCTCTGAAAGTGCAAAAAGCTCTGTATCCACATTATCTAAAAAAAATGATTCGCAGTCTTCCTGTTCTTCTCCAGTGAGGTATGTTATTTTCATAGGATTCTGTCACATATGTTTATTGAAAGAAATTGGAATAAATACTGTGTAAGTTACATATTCATGTCAATTTATTGGTTCCCAGACAAAAGCCCACTGAACGAAAGCGCATGCAACAAAAGCCCACTGTGATAATTGCCCATGCGACAAATACCCACAGCGATGAAAGTGCACATTGATGAAAGCCCACACTGATAAAATCCCACATTGATAAAAGCCCACTCTGATAAAAGCGCACATTGATAAAAACCCACATAATGAAAAGGGACTTTTTTATTACTATAAAATGTATTTGTAATTTTAATTATAGTAAATGGAGTATTCTGAATTTTAATTATCTCAAAAATACGTCTGTTTGTATATTTTATCACTACTTTATATCTGTTTATTTTATTAGGTTGAAAGCAAACTTTTCTGCTTTTAAGTGATTAGCTATAACATTTCGACGAGAAACCTGAAAATGCATTTTATGATTTATTTACTTGCTTAACTTTGGTACGTGTATGTGAAAAAGAAAAATATCATTATAAAGCTCCTCACATGCTATTTTTAAGGTAATATGGCTGAGATTAAATATAATTATGCTTCATTATTAAAACTATTAACTTTTTAATGCAAAAACACTTGAATTTTATTTTCTTCCTTTTTAGTTTTTCCTTTAGTTCCTCTAATTTCTTTTAGTTCCTTTTTAATTTAGTAATATTAAAACAGTTTTATGTAATTAAGCACGATGAAAACTTGGCTAAGAGATATTTTATTCTTTACTTTAGACTGAGCTTATCAAATTTTAAACATATTTCTTATTGAAAGCTTTCTTGAATGTAACAATTATAATTTGGAGATTTTCTAGAGATATTTTAATAATAATAAATTAAAATTATAATAATATAAATTAAAACTGTGAGCTGACACCTGTCTTTTGTGTATATATTGTATCATAGTTATTGTTCTATATTATGTTTTATTAATCTAGAAACTTTTCTCTCATTTTTTAATCCAGAATTTTATTTCAGTTATTTATTATATTGATTATGAATGTATTTTTATTTTTTTTTGTATTATTACTGCACTTTAATTTATTTCTGTATCATGCATATGTATGCTCTACTACCTTACTTATCAGGACTTATTCTTCATGAATTTATCATTTCCCCGCACTCAGTCTTGTCTCCCATGGTCTTATTGTCTGGTTTCCCACCCTTGTGACGCATGGTCACCTCATCTTCCCCCTAGACTTCAGTTCCTCCTTTACCACCAATTTGCTACCTCCAACTGCCAGGTGCCATCATGGCAAACTATCAGGAGCCGGTAAAGTTGCATTTACTCGCGACGCACTGGCAATATATGCTTGGACTGGATTGGATTGGGGACAAAAGAAAAGGAAAGCAATGGTTTCCCACCTGAATAGCCAGTGGACAGTTAGAAAACTGCATGACAAAAGCCCATAAGACGAATGCCCACTTAAAAACTGCCCACATTTTCAGGAAATCCAAAATAGCTATGACATTCTGAAAAATGTTACGAATAATAATTATTATGATTAAAAATGAAATTTCAAGTGGGAATGAAATTGATTTATGTAAAAGCGAAGTTTCAAAATTTAACTAAACTATTTAAAGCTGTGCTTTTAATTTACTATTAAAACTATTTATGATAGCGCACGCAAATGTTTTCTTAATCATTAATAGAATACGGTACTTTTATCTTTTTCGTTGAAATTAAAGTTTCGGCTTTGAATTCTCCATATTAAATTCATTATATGCAAAATTTTCTGAATTGTTAAATTATTCATAAATTATTCTGTATTTGATGAAAATTTGCATACATTTTACACTGCTTATAATTTTGTACAATTAAAAGAAGCAAGTGTGGCCAGTATATTCCCTTTCATCTCCCTTTGTCAGGACTTATACGAGAGCGCTTCCATTTGTCGTGTAAATATAAAAACAAAATGTATAGGTTTTTAATTATATTATTTTGATTGACTCTCTGTTCTATATACATACAGGATTTTAATCAGTTGGAGCCCAAAATTAAATGTGTTCCGCTACTTAAATTTTGTTCAATTATTTGTTTTTAATATAATTTATTTTTTATTTTATCTTTTTCATGAATCTGCTTTGCGAAGCTGGAAGAAAAAAGGGGGAAATATTAATTTTAACGTAGCATATATATCGGTGTGGGTTTTTGTCAATATGGGATTTCATCAGCGTGCGCTTATATCTATGTGGGCTTTTATCAATGTGCGCTTTCATCGGTGTAGGTATTAGTCATGTGGGCAATTATTTCAGTGGGGTCTTTTTTGTGCGCTTTCGTCCAGTGGGCTTTTATCTGGTCACCCAATTTATTGTGTGTTTTATAATGCTTAATTGTGTTTGCCTATCATATTATGTATATACATAAATATATATTTTGCATTAGTATTATCATCACTTGTTGCAGCATCAGTGCACAATCAGATTAGGTCCAGCCCGGTTCTTGCAGGACCGGATGACATCCAAGCTGACTTTTTTGAAGAATATTAGACCTATTTCTTGATTGGCTTTTCTTGCACTTCTGAACAGGAGCTGACACAGTCGTGTTCCATCTACTTGGCTCAAAGCTACTGTTATTCGTATATTACAGAAGCATAAACCTGGCGATCAGATTTACAGTTATACAGCTATTTTCATGATCTGTATCTTGGCTAAGGTCATGGAGTGCAGGATTACATTAAGATTGAGTTGGTTTTTGGAGTATAATAATTTATTACCTCCTATGGAGTTTGGTTTTAGAACTTATAACTGTACAGTTCAGCAAGTTATGTACTTTAGATAAGATATAAAGGACTCCTTAGATAAACATAAGTCCATCCTGGGAGTTTTTGTGGACTTTAAATCCACCTATGAGAGAGTCAGTCGCTTAAAACTCCACTCTCTTGATGTAGAGGGCAAAATGACAGCCTAGATAAAAACATTTATCAACCAAAGTTTTATTAGGATTCGCTATGGCCAGAGCATATCCCTTTTAGACAGACAAAAACTGGTCTGCCTCAGGGTGCTGTAATGAGCCCCTGATTATTTAATGTTTATATAAATAATTTGCCTGATATTCTGATGTCTGATCCTGCACTTGAGACTACAATCTTCGCTGATGAACTAGTTTTCTGGAGCTGTGCTCCAAAGAATTTATAGCAAAGCCTGAATGTTAATTTCAATGATGCCTTGGGGAAATTGGATCTTTGGTGCAGGAATAATAACATGTTTTAAAACCTAGATAAAACTAATTGCCAGTTTTTTACCTTGAATAGACAGCACATTTTACTCCACCTTTTTTATCGTGGTGAAGTAATCTCTGTTAATAATAATGTTACCTATTTGGGATGCAGACTTGATTCACGTCTGAATTGGAATGAACGTATTTCTTGTATAAAGGAAGAAACTGAAGGGAGACTTTCAATTTGAGACTGCTGGTGGTGGGCTGGCGATGGGGATGTAACAGAGAAACTTTAATGAATACATATAAAATGTACATTCAACCATTATTTTGTTATTGTAATGAAGTTTTGGTCACTGCTTCCATTAGTACAGTCAACATTTTGGAAAGATTATAAAACCAATCTCTTTCCCTAATAAAGTTGCAGTTAAATCCATCCACATAGTGGCTATGTAAGCGTTAACCAATATTTCTCCTGTCATGTATGACATTCGTAAAAATGCTGCAATTTTGTTTCAAAAACTTTGCAAGCTGCCAAATAATAAATATTGGAGGAATTGCAATTTTAACTATGATAGAAATTTAAATATATGTATATATATATTATATATATATATATATATACATATATAATATTCATTGTACAAGTGGTCTTAGTTCCACATTTTAAAACTTCTAGGAGGGGCAGGTGCATCCCAATGACTCAGAATCATATGGCAATGCAGGATTTGAAATGCTTTTCTGATGCTGTAGACGGCATTGTGCAAAAGTTCTGAGAGAGTTCTTGCAGGGAATGGGCATTTTGCAGAAGGACGCAGAGTTAGTGTAATTTCCGGAAGGCCGCATCAGCATAATTGCAATAGATTAAATTGTGTGTGACATCGTCGTGGGCCGTATAGATGCAAAATCTCAACCTAGGTCCTGATATATGACATATCAGTTAAGAAAAATGCATGAAATAAAACCATAACTCAAAAATAAATTAAAGAAATGTCGAAAATATATTTACATTTATGTATATACTTATATTTACCCACTAAAGTCCATATTTGTAATACTCAGACTATATTATAAAAAATGTTGCAAACACGAATATTAAATTGGATGACAAAAGAAATTTTAAATTTCCTTACAAAAGGAATTACAGCAAACTAAACATCATATGAAGCCATCAAATCTGATTCTTCACTATATGAATTAAAAAGATTTAGTAAATCCTGATCTAAATTGTCCAAGTCTTCCAGACTCGTCACATTCATCCTCTTTGTTTATAGTCTCTTTATCTGAGGATATAATTTCAGCTTCTTTGAACCCTGCTGTTATTGATGATGTTTTCACTCATTTTCATGCACTTCCTACCCACTTTGCAACTTCTTTATAAAATGTTCCATGCATTTTGCTGCTTTTGGTATACGTTATGCACTCCATTAAAGTGAGAGATTCATTCAACAATCCCACCGCTCAGACTTCAGCTTCGGACTTTAGCTAACAAATCTGAATGGTTGTAAGATTTTTATCAGACCACCAGGAATTATTGCTAAGATCATAGACAGTTTTTGACATCTGGTTTTCACTGACTCAAGTAAATGAGCATGCATGGAATCCATTATTAATAACCCTTTTGTTTGGAAAAAGGATCCCTTACGACACTGCCACACTTTTTGTAGCCACTCGTGCATGATGTTTCAACATCCAGCCATTCTGGTTTGCACAAATAATTATGTCATTAGGAAAATCTCCCTTGGAATAATCTTTCGTTTTAATGATCATCGGCTTTAGCTTGTCACTGA